GTGAAGCATTCATAAAACTTAACACATCCCATCTATAATTTTCATAGTTCAGCAAGTCAGACTCCAACTTTGCATTGACGTCTCCTAAGCACGTATAAAGGATTGAAGCCTGGAGTCAACAGGAGCCAGAGCCTTAAGCTGTATTATTAAATTTGCATGGAATATAAGTAAATTTTCATTCTAGAACACGTCTAATTAAACTCAGCCAACACTTGTGCTAGAGGAGTTTTATCGATCAGGGGGAAAGTCAGCGATGCAGCTATTACAGTGGCCCTGGTGGGAGACAGAACCTCAGTGATAGTGTGGGGGTCCCCACATGGAAGATACTTTTACGTTAGGGTTGATGGGTGGCTGGATGTGTGCCCTGCGGGCACAAGGAGCATTTGCGGTAATGTAGACATTCCACTTCGCACTGGGTGAGGGATGACACTACTGTACTAGGTAGGGAATAGAAGGGAAAGGTTTGGCGACGAGAACGGTCAGTTGAGTTTTGAACTTTTTGAACTGCAGGTATCTGTAGGACATTTATGTAGAAATGAACACAGAACATTTTTATGCCCTTGTGACGATTGTTATTAGGAGTGCACTATTGATTTCTTCTCCAAGTTCTGGACATGGGACTATCTAGGCTGTGTTATGATAGCAATGGTGACCTTTGTCCTGATCCTTGTAACACAGTTAAAGCCCAGAATTAATTTATCTTTGCATTTTATATTGCATCAGATTCTAAATATTCTGACTCACTCTTTTCTTCACCTTGCAATTCTACACATTAGGGCTGAGATGAGGTTTTATGCTGCTCTCATAGGCCCGACAGTGAGAGGACCAATGAGGTCCTCCCAGTGGCCTCAGTGATCACTGCCACCACAGAACCTGAGAGTGAGTTCCTCCCAGTGTAGCTGGTGATGCTACAATAGCAAGTGTATTGAGGAATTGTTTTCATTCATTCATTTCCTGCTAACTGAGTGCCTGCTATATGCACGATATGTTGTTCTGTTTCTAGAAATACATACCACAACAAAACCTTATCATAAAAACTTTTATTTACTTTTCAGAGACTTAGTTGTTTTATTTTTTATTTTTTTAAATCCTTACCCGAGGATACTTTTTTCTCTTGTATCTTTAGATGGGGGGGGGGGGGGGACATCGGTGTGAGAGAGACACATCAACTGGCTGCCTCTGACCAGGGCCAGGGACCGAACCACAACCAAGGTACATGCCCTTGACTGGAATTGATTCCGCGACTCTTTGGTCCGCAGGCCGATGCTTCAACCGCTGAGCCGAACCAGCCAGGGCAAAAAGCTTAGTTGTTTTAAATATAGAAATTGCTTTTTTAAATTTCTTGAAACCTTATGTTTTGTGCCAGTAGAGAGGGAGGTGTTGAGGGGAGTGAAGAAAGTGAAAGAATAAAAAAGATAAAGTGAGCATGAACTAGCTCAAGATATTACATGTGATGATCACTGCCAGAGGCAGTTCTTCCTAGACCTGATCCTGACAGTCAGATCTTCCTAGCACTTTTCTAATTGCCCTCTGCTTGATTTCATTCTTTGTCCACTGAACTTGCTATTGTGGCATGCTAATCGAACGTGGGAATTAAGACCAAGGTCAAACACTGCCTTGGTTTACACCTTGTCACTTAGTGTCTGTGTAAATGGGGATGAATTGCAGCCTCTCTAAGTCTCTATTTTGTCTTCTATAAATGGTGATGAGAGCACTATGTAACTAGCTGATAAGACTATTCCACTTAGTGTAAGCTATTTATCATGGCATCTGGCACATAATGTATGTGCAATAAATGTTAGCAATCATGCAATAATAGTGATGAGTTTTTATGAATCCTAACAGTACTCTGATTCCTGAAAGTGCTAGATAACATTCAAGTAAAATAACATTTAGTTTTGAAAGTTTTTAATTTATTAAATACAAATATATGTTCATTGTTTCTATTTTATTTTTAGTTTTGAAACATTATTATTCATTTCTTTATCCTGACATTTTTATAATCCAACACGTATATATAACTTTTCTATCTTTACTTGCACATTGATCTCTGCTGTTAAAAAAAAAAAATAGAGATTTCCTGATGCCATGTTGTAGAAAGTAACTTCTCCCTGGCCTGTTTGCTTCCCTCGCTTTGTCATGCCCAGTTAACCTATCTTATAAGAAACCTCTGTGGTACAGTGTGATACAGAGTGTACAAAAACTAAGTCAATAAGAAAGCATGCAATAAAGCAGAACAGGTACGTCCAGCAGAGGGAGATATTGGCAAAATAATTAAGCCACATAATATGCAGGTGCAGTGGCACCAAATTTAAAAACAAAGTTCTCCCTTTGTGAAAGCATCTAACTAATTAGAAGTAACTACATATACGTTCAGTGGTTGCTGTGGATTCATATAAGTTCTGCTAGTTGCCTAACTCAAACTTATTATACAAGTACCTAGGGAAGCACTGCAGGACTGTGTACGCTGTTACCTTTCAGAGATGGAAGTCAAGACAAGATCATTGACACACTTCTCTCTCTCAATAGAAGTTACAGGCTGGATGACTTGAGAACAAAGAATGTACAGAAGTTATATATACTTCCATAATTCAAAAATGTGTTTTTCGCCGAGTTCTAGATATTCTGAATAAACTTGGTGTCAAACGAAATGGCTGAATAAGAATACTATCCTTTTTATAATATCTTTGTAATTTAGATCTCTAACGTTCTGAAATTACTGGGAGGCCTATAATTAAAAGCAAATTAACAACATTTAATTAAGCTTGAATTGGAATTTTTTCAAGTATTTTGAGTAGGATAGTTAAGTTGATTTGAACCCTTACTTTTCCAACAGAAACATCACATTTCTTTCTGTTGGCAACATTGTCCAATAACTGACTACTATAATAGTCCCTCTGCACTTTGAGATTTAATACTCTTATTCTATCACACTCTAAGAAATTGCTGCCCTGGAACTTGGGGATGTTGAGACTGCCCTTAAACCTGAGAGTCTCACTTAATAGTTGACTGAGTTTTCCCCTCAGTATCATGCCTAGATATTTTGATGTGGATTTTATTACTTTTGGCTACATTAGTAAATTCAGTTTGTAAAATGTCCAAAGAACTTTATATCATATACAAAATATATCTTAAATAAATCACTATAGTAATTTTACAGTTTAACTTTCTATTTAGTTGATTCAGAAGTGGAAGTTATATATCTCTGCCAATTTTATTCTTATTAATTAACTTAGTAAATGTTACTTACTAGCAACTTAGTAGATAATAGCTTTAAAAAGATACTATCTTAAACACACAGTTTTTATTTAGAATTTTGCAAGCCTTTATCAGTTTTCTTGCTTTTAGTTTTTGCTAAGGAGCATCGTTATTCTTTGTGTTTAAGTGGATTTTTATAATTTTATAAGTAACTATAGAGGATCAGCTATCATAGAATAGACTTCATAGCATGTAGTATAGTTTTTCTGGTAGAACCGAAGTTGGTTCCTGGATTGCACGTGCTTTTGTTCTGAAGATTATTAACACTTCATTTAACAACTGGATATGTGGCTTTTTTGAATTATTAAAAATAATTTTTAGTGAATGGACTTCATTGGACTACCCCATTCAAAGAGTTTCTTTGAACCACTGTAGACAAATTGGAATGCCTTTAAAAAAAAAAAAATCCTCACCTGAGGATATTTTTCTATTTATCTTCAGTAGAGTGGGAAGGAGAGAGAGAGAAACATCAATGTGAGAGGGACACATCTACTGGCTGCCTCCCGCACTACCCCAACCAGGGCTGGGGACGAACTGCAACCGAGGTACATGCCCTTGATCTGAATCGAACCCGCAACTCTTTGGTCCATGAGCCAATGCTCTACCCCTGAGCCAAACCAGCCTGGGCAGAATGCCTTTTTTTTAACCTTTGTTAATAAATTAATATGTATTTTAAAGGGCCATAGGAAAATTACACTGAATAAATAAAATGCATATCTACCAGTGTACCTACACATATTCTATAGAATAGGCAAGATTATGCTGCAGTAATAAGCCTAAAATCTCAGTGACTATACACAATACAGTTTGCTTTTCTTATATGCTGCATGTCAATTGCAGTTTGACAGCACTGATGTCTTTGTTGTAGTCACTTGGGGACTTGGGTTGAGGCAGGTTCCACCTTGACACATGCTTCAGCTATTAGTTCTGGGGAAAGGGTGTTTCATGAATCTGCTGATACGCTTAAAACTTCTGTCTGAAATGACATAGTTCGTCTGGGCGAGGTGTGGCCACCCCTGAGTTCAGCAAACTGCACGATCCTCACATGGAACGGGGCCCTGGGTGTTGCAGATGGTACAGTTCACCAGACTCTTTTACGTGAGTGAGCATTTGGAAACTGCTGATAACCTTAGAGAATGTCTAGTTTAAGCTGACCATGGAAGGAAATGAATGTTTTCACCTGATCATCTCATTAGTTTTAGAACTCATATTGGGTTCCGTGTACTGAACACATACACACAGCCCCCCACACACAATTCTACAATGTTCAGATGATGTAGGAACCATTTTACAGAAACATTTATACCACTGGGGATGTTGGCATTGTTCCATACACACTGTGGACAGGGAATAACAGTGTTGTGGGGCCTGACCTGCTTTTAATTCACATTTGTAGGTCAGCCAAGACTATTCATAAATTTCATGACCACATTACAGTTTAGCAGGATTTTAAACTTCTTTTTTTTTTTTTTTTTTTTCCTCATGGAACAAGAAAAGGCCAAATTTTAATTTGGAGTTTTATTAATAAGTACTGTGTTAGGAGAAAAATGAGTGCTACAAATAGCTAACAGTCTAAATAACTAATATAATTGAACCATTAGACTTATAGGCAGAATTCACACTAAAGTGAAAATATTGTAATTTGTTGTAAAGATCCAGTGCTTTACATTTACTTTTTAATCTCACACAATTAGGTATTATTTAATTATTGCTAACATTTCCTGATTTTTTTTTTTTTGTAGGTATTACTGATTTTCCTGAAATATTTTGTGGAATTTCTCAGAAGCTAGTTAGTGTGGAAGCCTTTGCTCTAGCTGCAAAATATTATTCTGTACAAAACTTGGGAATATGTACTCCTTTTGAACAGTTGCTTGTAGCCCTTCAAGGAACTCAAACACAGAAAATTGGTAAGTGTGTTTGTGCATGGGTATGTATGATTTTTCTTCTTTTTAAATCCTCACTTAAGGATATTTTTCCATTTATCTTCAGATACAGTGGGAGAGGGGGAGGGAGGGAGGGAGAGAGAAAAACATCCATGTAAGAGAGACGAATCAATTGGTTGCCTCCTGCATGACCCCAACCAGGGCCATGGATCGAACCACAACCAAGGTATGTGCTCTTGACTGGAATCGAACCTGAGACAATTGGGTCCAAGGGCTGACGCTCTAACCGCTGAGCCAAACCGGCCAGGGCTGTGTATATGTCTTTAGGCACTTAGAAGCAGTATATGGTTCATATATGTGTATCTTTCCAACATATTCTTAATTTAATGTTAGACCTTATGTCATGAGCCCACTTAGATTGGCTTATGCCAGATGGGTTTTCTCAAGTACCTTGTTAAACAGAACAACTTCATTAGGGGGTCTCCACATTGTTTTCTATTTGGTAGTTCATTTATCAGTCTTATTCTTTATAGTTAATTGTTTTATGTATCAGGGAACATTTTAATACTATTCTGTGGGTCTCATTTTATTAATTCAAATTTGATTTATAGGAGCTAAACGAATAGAGATCTATTATATAGATACTACAATAGAATCTCTGTATTATTTTTACATGTACTTACAGAAAACATCTATATCATCTGATGGTTCTTATTAAGTTTTGTTTCTTTAATAACAGTATTTAAATTTTATTTTTACTCAGGTGAAAATGTGAAGCCAGATGAGTTTATGAATTTGAAAAAATCTCATGAAGTTCAGGCAATGTCCGCGCTGATCAGCAGTATTGCTGATTACTGTGGAATAAAGCAGGTAAGAGTATTTTCCTATATTTTCAGGTGTTGTGATATTGCTAATTTTTTTTGTATCATTCAAGTTCCCTTTTCTATTATCACTAGCCTTTAAAATGTCATTAAATAATAGCTGTCGTGAGATATGTCAGAGCCTTTAAAACTATGCTCTCATTTTCCAAATACTCTAATTATAACAAATCTCTACTAAAAATAAGATATTACTATTAATGTTTTACCACAAATTTTACTCTTTTCAGACTGGATAGAAGTTAAAAATAATTGCCTTTGACAGGTTGTAACTCCAACTTGATGCAGCATTACGATGATGACATTTTTCAAAATTGTTTGGCACTAGGTGTTCTCAGGACCCGGCCAAACTGCAATACAGGGCACCTACCTCATTATAGTAACAGAAAGAAACTATGTTTTAGAACTTGGATTCTTTTGCACTGTCAGAATTACAATGCATTCCTGTTGTGAAAAATCGCTTTTGTGTAATGTAGTGATGTTTGAAAACAGATGTTAAAATAAAATCCCATAAAAATAGTAAGTTATTTTTTTCCCTGGCTTATAAAAATAGTAAGTTATTTTTCTTATCCCTATGAGAACATCTATGGGGGTAATGGAGGATTTTCCCTCCTTCGATTTTTATTATGTGTTACAGTCTTTTCCATGGATTCTTCCAGACTTGCAGAGAGTCTGAGGATAATTAGGAAATTATCACAGTGTGGGCTAGGGGTGCAGAGCCACTTGTGACAACATAGATCTCTAGGGCAGAGGCTGGAGGCAAGAGCTAAGGCAATAGTTTTCAACCTTTTCTGCAGTGCATCACACCTAAGCAATAAACTTTCCGTATTAGTAACAGGCTCACCGTGGCAGTGATGCTCAGCTGGACAAAAAGGTGCAGGTACACAGTAAAACTTGGACTCTTGCTGTACACATCACATGGGTGAATATTAGAAGCATAAAACTGAAAGGGAAAAAATAAACAATTTACAGAAGACTACATATTTTGTGGTACCATTTTTTTAAGCTCTAAAGCAAAATAATGTTATGTTCTAAATGCAAACAATTATAAGAAGAAAACTATTAAGCAATGGAATCATAATTTGAGAATAGTTATAATAATTTGAGAATAATAGGGGAAGCAGGGAGATGGGTTATGGACAGAAAACATAATTAATGCAGTAGAAATACTAACGTTCTAGTTTTTAGATGGCTGGTCAGTTCTTAGGTATACCAGGTGCTGTTGGACACCTAACCCAATACTCTTGGGCATTACCATTACCATTTCTGTGCCAGCCTGCTTTCTACCTGGCAATATCTGCATTGTTTTCCCTGGCTGCTGAAACAAGGCATTGCCTGCATACAGGTTCTGGGAATTCATTCCTCTCTGTGACAACCTTGAACCAGTGATTGCTACAAGTTGATATACAAATACATCAGCTCCCTGGCATTTCAGGTGGATGGTTCTGAGCTATGTCTTCTTCCCTAGCTCTCAGAGTTTCCTAGTGCATTTCCAAGTTGCCCTAAAGTGGTATCTCGATTAATAATGCACCTTTTATTGGGCTTTCTTCCTTCCTTTTTTTCTCTTTTCTACTTCCCTACCCTTTTTTTTACCTCCCAAACAAATCAGTTATATTTAAATCTCCGTTGTAGACTCTGCTCTGTTGTAACACAAAAACTAAGATGAGGGGTATTTATTGGGCTTCATAGCTTTACATTTCAACTATATTCTTTTATTTATGTGAAATACTACATAATAATAAACAACTTTACATTAATAAAGCAGATTTATTTATTTATTTTTGTTCAGGTAGAGTGGGAGAGAGAGGAACAGAGAGAGAGAAACATCGATGTGAAAGGAACACATCGAGTGGTTGCCACCCGCACAACCGACCAGGGCCGGGGACAAACTGCAACCGAGGTACGCGCCCTTAGCGGGAACCGAACCCGGGTCTCTCAGGACCGCAGGCTGACGCTCTAACCGCTGAGCCAAACCGGCCAGGGCCAAAGCAGATTTATTGTATGTCTAAAGAGCAGAGAAATTTTGAAATAGCTCAATGCATCATGTTAGACCAGCTTTAAGGGAACTTTGTCAAAGCAAAGGAGATTGTTCCAAGTGAATGAAATCACCTAAAACAAAGACTTTTACAAGGTCTTTCTCTTAAATTACTTAATAGCAATATTTGATTTCCACAGTAGTTTAGTTTAAAATGTATTATATATGTACTACTTTTACTTTTAAAATGCAGATTAAATAAATGCAGATCTCATGATGATAGGTGGAAATCCAGAATTTGAAAGACTTGCCTTCACTAGTGACCCTGGAGAGCTATTATTAACTGTGGTGAAAAATATTTTGGGAGGGCAGGTTTTACAGAGAATATGAAGAATTTAGTTTCGAACATGTTAAATTTGAGATGCTTATTAGACATTTAAGTGGAAATGTTAGGCAGACTGTTGGATATATGAGTATGAAGTTCATGAGAGAATTCCATATTGGGGTTATAAATGTATTTAAAATTTGAAATTTGAAAGTAATTAACCTAGAATGGTAATTAGATCTCTAGGTCAGTCAACAAACTATAACTCTTCTATGTGAATTATAGTACCATACTATTGAGAAATGTCAGCGCTATGTGTAACAATGTTTCTGTGAGAAAATGTCCTAAGCAGAATTAGACTAGGAAGGTCGGTCACACCAGGCATTGGATTGAAGACTCCTCTCTCATCTAACCTATAAGATGATCCAGGATACAATGTGAGTTTTCCATTCTATTGCTAATACTGCATCTCTTACTAAAAGTCAATTTGGAAAGGGCTAAAAGTCAACTTTGGTCAGTAAGTTGTAAATGTAAATTGGCTGACAAATTTTCTAGAAAGAGTTGCTCATTACTGAAAAGGCTTTTAGATATTGTGAAGACATTATTCTGAGTTTCTACAGCCATCTTGTAACCAGAGGAATTACAAATAAGATGGCCCAAAAGTTTATTTTGCTCCTTAGATCCCACATATAAATGAAATAATATGGTATCTGCCTTTCTCTGGCTTATATCTCTTAGTATAATACCCTTCAGGTTTATTCATGCTGTCACAAATGGTAAGATTTCATTCTTTTTTTATGGCCGAGTAATATTCCATTGTGTAAATGTGCCACAGGTTTGTTTTTTTTAAATAATTTTAGAGAGGAAGGGAGAGGAAGAGAGAGGTAGAAACATTGATGAGAGAGAACATCGATTGGTCGCCTCCCGCATGCCCCCCACTGGGGATTAGGCCCACATCCTGGGCATGTGTCCTGACCAGGAATCGAACCGGTAACTTCTTGGTGCATGGGTCGATGCTCAACCAGTGAGCCACACCGGCCACAAGCCACAGCTTTTTTTTAATCCACTTGTCTATAGGCACTTAGGTTGCTTCCGTATCTTGGCTATTGTAAACAATGCTTCAGTGAACATAGAGGTGCATATATTCTACGGTTGTATGCCATTGAACCTCTGAATGGTTCAACCGTTCTACTGATAGATTTTCTAAGTGAAGTGAATTTTCTTTATTGTTCAAAACTTGATGTTCTGTTACTTGCAGACAGAATTTTCCTGATTTAAAGTGGAATTGTCATAAACATGTCTGTAAACAAACTCAATTCCTCTTGGTACAAAAATATCTAAATTGGTAGGAACAAATATGCTGGTGTTTCCATCAACCCAGTGGTTGCTAGCATTAAGTTTGGCATTGACATTAGTGAGTGTGTTTTATAGAAGCAAAGGGTTCACTTTCTCTTGAGATTCAGATATGAGGGAATTGATTAATAGTTTCTACTGTATACTCCTTATATTCATGAGTATAGGTACAGTAACTTCAATTAGATTGTATTTCCTTAAAATCAAGATATATTACGTTTCTGTGTTTCCCACACTACCTAGCCCGGAGATTAACATAAAAAGGGGGTATAGGAAATTATTTCGTAACCTAGTTACTTATTTAGGGTACATTATTTATTAGAGTCTTACTATGTACTACTCAAATTACAAGACCCTTGAAATTTTTGAGGATTTAATTTATGATATGCATTATTTCGAATAAAGGAATGTTTTCTTGAATGTCTCATACTTATGACAGGGTTTAATTGATTTTAGGAATTAAAGATAGACAATAATATTAGATAATTTCTTAAGATAGTATTTCTATAATTGTCCATTTATTTCTCATGAAGAGGCATGACAATACAATAATCTTGGTAATTTTTTATTTCTCTTATCATGCTTAGTTTTATTGATGTATTCTCTAATTCTAGGTGTTCGGTTTGATAAATTTGGTAATTGTATGCAGTCATGTAACCACCACCATAATCAAAAATATTTCTGTCATGATAAAAAGTTTCCTCATGCCCTTTTGCAAGTTATTTTCTCCTCCATTCTCAGGAAACTGCTCATTTGCTTATAGTTTTGACTGTTGTAGAATGTCCTATAAATGGTGTTTTGTGTTTGACTTCTTTCCTTTAAATCATAGCTTTGAGCGTCATCATTGTTGTGTGTATTTACTCCTTGTTCCTCTCTCTTCCTGGGCAGTATGCCATGCTATGGTTATTACCACGATTTGTTTTTCCATTTCCCAGTCCGTGACCATTTGAGTGGTCACCATTATTTAGCTGCTATTACTATTCACTTACAAGACTTTGTGTGGACATCTTTTTATTTCTTTTGGATAACTAGCCCAGAATGAACTTTGTAGATTATATTGTAAGTGTTAAGGTAAACTGCCAGTGTTTTTCCAAAGTGCCTGTACCATTTTATATTTGTGCACATCTCATTATGATTTTAGTTTGCATTTCCCTGATGACTAGTGATGTTGGGCATCTTTTAATATTGGCCATTTATATGACATTTTGTGAAGTGTGTGTTCAAATAATTTGCCCATCTTATTTGTTTATTGTTTTAAACTTATCTTTATTGTTGAAAGTATTACAGGTGTCCCTCCTTTTATTTATTAAAAAAATTTTTTTTAACCTCACCCGAGGACATTTTTGCTTTTATCTTCAGCTAGAGTGGGAGGAAGAGAGAGAGAGGAACATTGGTGTGAGAGAGACAAGATACATTGACTGGTTGCCACCCACACAACCCCAACCAGTGCAGGGGACAAACTGCAACCAAGGTACGTGCCCCTAGCAAGAACTGAACCCGGAACTCTCTGGTCCGTAGGCCAGTGCTCTAACTATTGAGCCAAACTGTCCAGGGCCAGATGTCTTTCCTTTTAATTTGCCCATTTTTCACTTATTTGGCTTATCATTGAATTATAAGAGTTCTTTATGTATTCTGGACATGAAGAATGTGTCAGGTAAATGATTTGCAAATACAGTATTAGTACTTCTTTTCCTTTTTAACTATGTATTTTGAATAGCAAAAGTTTTAATTTTTAATGAAGTCTATTTTTTTTATTTATTTTATTTGTAGTTCATTCTTTTTATATCCTACCTAGGAAATTGTTGCCTCTTTCAATGTCACAATGATTTTTTATGCTTTCTTTCAGAATTTAGTAGTTTTTACTATTACATTTAGATCTGTGATCCACTTTTAATTAATTTTGCATTTGGCATGTGACAAGCAGAGTTTGTTTTTCCATGCAGACATCCAATTATACCAGGACCGTTTGTGGAAAAGACTGTTTTCTACACTGAATTACCTTAGTAGTTTTTTCAAAAATCAGTTGTCTCTATAAGTGTGGGTTTGTTTCTGAACTCTATTTTTTCACTGATTTATGTGTCAGTTTTTATACTGGCACTATACTGTTTTGATTACTGTAGTTTTATATTGATTCCCAAATCATGTAAATCCTCTACCTTATTCTTTATCCAAAAGCGTTATGCTTATTCTAGGAACTTTGCCTTTTTGTATAAATTATAATATCTGCTTGTAAATTTCTTGTTAAAAATCTGCTGAAATTTTGATTAGGATTGCAATGGATCTATATGTCAATTTGGGAGAGTTGCCATCTTAAAATTGAGTCTGATGTTTTGTGAATATGGTATCTCTTTATTTAGATCTTTTAAATTTTTTCTCTGCAGTGTTTTATAGTTTTCAGTGTATAAGGATCTTATACAATCTTTGTTACATTTATTCCTACATATTGTATTCTATTCTTGTTTTAAATTTTATTTTCTAATTGTTCTTTGCTACTGTATTGTATATGTTCTAATGGTTCATTACTCATTTCTAATGATCCTGTCTTCTGACATACTGGTAAATTCACTTCTTGTGTTAGCTTTTTTTGGGGGGGTATATTCCTCAGGATTTTCTGAGACACAATCATGTTATCTATGAAGAAAGAGTTTTAGTTCCAATATTTATGACATTTACTTCTTTTCCTTGACTCATTATACTATCTATCTTTAAAAAAGTTAAATAAAAATTATGACTGTGGTTGGTTTTTAATAGGAATCAAATATTAAAAAACTGTAACAGGTTGTATAAAATACAACCATTTGTTTACTTGCTTTGTAAAACTACATCAAGAATGCTTTTTATTACTATCTGACCAAAATCCTTCAATTCACTCTGTTTTTCTTTAGGTAATTGACCTAGGTTCTGGAAAAGGCTACCTAAGCTCCTATTTGTCCTTGAAGTATGGCTTAAATGTTTATGGAATCGATTCCTCAAATACCAATACTCACGGAGCTCAGGAGAGAAACAGGAAGTTGAAGAAACATTGGAAAGTCTATCATACTCGGTCAAAATTAGATGTCAGTGAACTGGCATTAAAAATGGCAAAAGAAAAGAAAATGCAAGATCACACTGAAAACAAAGCAGACATGGAGGGAGTACGTAACAACAATCCTACAAATCAAGAAATGATGTCTACATCAGATTTTTTGCCAGATTTTTCGAGCTCTGTAATTTCTAACATCAGAAAACAAATGGAAAACCTACATGTTTATTCACATCAAGAAGAAAAGTTGTGTTTTGAAAATGCCTTTTCCCCTATAGACCTTTTGCCTATTAATGCCATAGAACCTGCTTCTTCAACCCAAATACCTGAGAGAAAAATGTCTGAAGCAAATAAAGAGAGAAAAAATGCATCAGAGTCAAGTGAATCAAATATATACTCACCTTTAACATCTTTTATTACTGCTGATTCAGAACTACATGATATTATTCAAGATCTGGAGGTGATTTCACGTTTGAATTCCTTAATTTTTTCATAAAACTGCTCCAAGACATACAATTACATTTTAATGGTAGCTTAGCTAACTTACATAACTTATTTGGTTACATTAATCTAAAGGACTAAGAAAATAAAATTATATGTAGACTTTTATGATTCTCACAGCTATCAACATCTAAGAGTACAAAAACTGACCATTACAGTTTGCCAAAGTAGAGTGCCCTCTGCTCATTTCAAGTGTCCTAAATCAAACAGAAATATTAGCACAAAAGCCAGTAAGCTAAGCTCTCATTTTGCATTTTAGGGATAGTTAAATTTCCAGTCCAAGAAAACTCATACATTTTGATTTATATTTGAGGTAAAGAGATATCTAGGGCAATATTATATTTAATGTTAGCCTTGGTAACCAAATATACAATTTTTTGAGCAAATGTGGCTTCTGAGTATTTTTAAAGAATTTTAACTTTTTCTAAACTATATGTCAAATTATGTAACTGAAAGAAAATATATCTTAAACAAAGGTAACCTTGTATATTGGAACAATATGTAGAGGAGCTTCTAGAAATCATTTGGCCTAACTTGTCTTAAAAAATAAGATAGCCTTTGAAGTTGTAATATTCTACTCATTAAAATTTTCAGAAATTCTTTTTTTAAATTAAATGTATTGGGGTGACATTGGTTAATAAGATTATATAGGTTTCAAGTGTACAGTTCTATGATACATCATCTATATATTGCATTATGTGTATACCACCCAAAGTTAAATCTTCTTTTCATGACCATATATTTAACCCCTTTTATACTTTGCTACCTTCCCATCCCACTTCCCTCTGGTGACCACCATACTGTTGTCTGTGTCTACGAGTTTTTGTTTGTTTTTCTTCTCTGTTCATTTGTTGCTTTTAGTTTTATATCCCACATGAGTGAAATCATATGGTTCTTGACTTTTTCTGTCTCACTTATTTTGCTTAGCCTGATAACTCTCAAGGTTCATTCATGTTGTCACAAATGGCAGTATTTCATCTTTTCATATGGCTGAGTAGTATTCCATTGTATTTATGTACAACATCTTCTTTATCTAATCATCTATGAAAGGACACTTTGGCTGTCTCCATGTCTTGGCCACCGTGAATAGTGCTGCAATGAACATAGGGGTGCATATATCTTTACAAATAAATGTTTTCAAGTTTTTCAGGTAGCTACCCAGAAGAGGGGCTACTGGATTATATGGTAACTATTTTTAACTTTTAGAGGTGCCTCCATGCTGTATTCCTTAGTGGCTGTACCAGTTTACATTTCCACCACCAGTGAACGAGGGTTCCTTTTTCTCCACAACCACTCCAGCACTTGTTATTACTTGTGTTGTTGATAATAGCCATCCTAACAGGTGTGAGGTGCTACCTCACTGTAGTTTTGATTTGTGTTTTCCTAATGGCTAATGAGTTGTGCATCTTTTTAATATCTGTTGGCCATCTTTATGTCTTCTCGGCAGAAGTGTCTGTTCAGGTCCTCTGCCCATTTTTAAATTGTATGGAAATGTTATTTATTTTGGATAATTACCCAGGAGTTGGATTTGTAAGTCATAGAGAGTAAGTGTATGTTTTTACTTTATGGTAAACTGCCAATGTTTTCCAAAGTGCTTGTACTATTATTATCCTCATTTTACAGATGAGGATTTTAAGGCACTGAAGAATTAAAACAAACTTGGTATATTGATCAAGATTCCGTGAGTACATGCACCTATATTCACTCAGTATGTGTATACATTAAACTTAGACTTTGAAACAGTTCATAGGAGATTGTTTACATATATTGATGTTATAAAATGTAGAACAAAAATGTTTATATTATATTTAAAATTGCTGTATTTGATATAAGGAGTGAACTAAGTAAACTTTTTGGTTTTGAAATAGAAATGTTAACTTGTCACCTCTTGTTTATTATTATTATTATTTTTAAGTTTTGAAGGGTAATTTGTGAATAAGTGAATTTAAAAAATTGATTAGTAAGATATAAATGTGTCTCAAATCACAAGTTTGTCACAGTAATGCATGCTACATTTGGTTAGTCCAATCTTTACTTTGGCTAGTTTTCAAGCAAATATTAGTTGTAAAATAGAAAAGAGAAAATTCAATGGGCAAGTAACCAAAACAAGGAGAAAATTCAACTCAAAAGCATGTCAGTTGTGATAAGTGATCACAGTCATTGTGTCCATAAAAGGAATGATTATTTGTTATGAAATTAAAAAAAAAACCACATTATTTTCTAGGTAGAATGTTTAAAAGCCCCACATATCCTAACGTACATTTAAAATCTTCACTTGAAATGTCTTTTCAGCCCTCCTTTTAATTGCCAAAATTTATTTTTCTTCTCATTTTGAAAGGATTGCTTGATGGTAGGTCTACATACTTGCGGTGACCTTGCTCCAAATACTCTGCGAATATTTACCTCCAATTCTGCAATCAAGGGAGTTTGCAGTGTGGGTTGTTGCTACCACCTCTTATCGGAAGAATTTGAAGAGCCACATAAAGGTACAAAGTTATCATATTTCATTTATTTCAGCATAATGTCCACTTTCTAACTCCACCTTTTTTGTTAACATTATTGTCATTTTGAATTAACATTTAAAATAATATTCGATATTCTTGCAATTTTAATATCTATTGAAATCGGGTGCACTATCACCTTATGCATTTTATTATAGTTTCATTGCTCATTAAATAGTCTTAGTGCATGCTGAACATTGCAGACATTGAAAATTTTATGTGGTATATCATGTAGAGAATGTCTGTTTAAAAATACAAGATATACATTTACTAAAGTTATTTTGTTATGAATATAGTTTCAAGGTTTGCTTTTGTTTTCCAAACCTTTGTTGTTTTGTGAGGAATTTTGATATTGATATTTCTCAAAAAGAAATTCCTTCTGTACTTTGAAGAGGCAACACACTATGATTTTTAAAACTGCAAAACTGTGCAATGGCATCAAAATGATGGTATTCAAATGGTGCTCCCTGGACTGAGATGGTGCCTGGAGAGCTATGTACACAGCAGGATGTAGGGCACCCCATGTACCTTCATCCCCAGCAGCTCTTTTCATATGTTATGAAAGAAGAAGATATGGTTTCAAAACCGCTGGTTCAGAGTAGATGGTTATTTAGTCTATTAATATCAGTGGTTCTCTTTTCTATTAGTTTAATGAAGTCTCTATCAACATCCAGTGTCCCTTACTAGGAATTTCTAAGCCAGGAAGTTGTGTGCATATGTATGATGTTGTTTGTTCTTTTCTCATCTTTAAAATCCCGGTGGAAAGGATATTTCTGTTTCTTATCTAGTTGTGTATAAGAGGTAAAAATTCTGATTATATAATTCTGCTGAAATTTGACCACCTGAAACTGAGGTCATCCACCGACCTGGCAAAGGCTTTTATAAAAAAGAGTTAATTAAATTTGATTTCTTTTATGTCACAGTTTTTAAAAGTATCTTTTATAAAATGTGCAGAAGAAAAAAAACTAATATAAAGAGATATGTAGATTGAGAGAAGGAAAGAAAATTGGCAAGACGTTACAAATAGTTTAATTTAGATGGAGAATGTATGTTTTTGTTGCCATTATTTATCATTTTATTCAGAGTACAAAAATCATCAAGTTAAAAATTTGGAGAAAATAGTGAACCTAAAAAAAGAAAATATATATTTATAGTAAAGTATATACCCAAATATTTACACCATATTACTCTTATTTTAAAAAAAAAAAGTTTTTATTGATTTTAGAGCGTGAAGAAGGGAGAGAGAAATTGAAACATTGATGTGAGAGAAAGATGGACTGGCTGCTTCCTGCACCCCCCCTACTGGGGATCGACCCCTCAATCCTGGAACCTGCGCATGTACCCTGAACAGGAATCGAACCAGAGACTTCTTGGTGCATGAGATGATGCTCAACCAACTGAGCCACATGGGCTGGGCTATATTACAGTTTTTGTGTGCATCATTTCTAAAAGAAAGAACTCTTTACTACAATTACAGTTTTACAGCTTTTGAAATATTAAGTGTGTAAAGTTTTCCTGGACCAACAATAGCGTAAGATTCTATATAAGGAAGGTGTGGTTCTTTTTTTTTTTTTTTTTTTTTTTTTTTTTGTACATGCCCCTAGCGGGAACTGAACCCGGGACTCTCTGGTCCGCAGGCTGACATTCCAACCACTGAGCCAAACTGGCCAGGGCAGGAAGGTGTGGTTCTTAGTTCAAGAATTTCCTCTTTTTTTCCTGCCGGTGTGGCTCAGTGGATTGAGCACTGTCCCATGGACTGAGAGGTCCTGGTTTGATTTCAGGTCAGGGCACATGCCTGGGTTGTGGGCTCGATCCCCAGTAATGGGCGTGCAGGAGGCAGCTGATCAGTGTATCTCACATCGATGTTTCTCTCTCTCCTCTCTCTCTAAAAAATCAATAAAAACATATCTTTTAAAAATTAAAAATAAAAAGAATTTTCCTCTTCTGTAGGTACAATGAAATGGGTTTTCTTTAATAATTGGCTCTGTTGGAAGTAGATGTAGACTGTTGGCATCTTTCAATTAAGAGGTGTTGTCCTGCAGTGTAAGATATTTAACTTCACCTGCCTGCTTCTTTCTTTATCATCATGCTCCCAAAGATGCCTTCCCCTTCCAGAGGCCTCTCTGTCCTCTTTAAGCAGTGCCTTCTTAGACTCTCACCTCTGGTCTTGCTGGGCCCTTGCAGCCATTGCACTGGGTCATCAGGTCTCAGACTTCATTTCAGTATTTCCCACCGCGGAGCAAATACTCTCTTTTGAACAAGTGAGTAGGAATAGAAAAGAAAAAAAAAATCACTGTTGCTGCATTGGCAGCTGCATTTCATACTAGTAGAAGATAATAATGCACTGTGCTTGGCACTTTATGTCTAATAAAGGGAGATGGGGAAGGGTTCCTAAAACGTCAGTAATTCGGGAAAGAAGAAATTTAAATAGATGAAATTAGCCCTTAATCCCAGGAATCAGATAATCCCTGTTAGTAATTTAACATTTCTTATTTTCAAAAATTATTTAGAATAGAAAAATCAAATAATATAAAAATATTTTTTAAATGAAAATAAAAAGTAAGTTTCCAGACCCATGTGTTCAGTTTCTTGTGTATCTTATCTTTCCAGAAAAGAAAATACATACATACATTCACACTATATTTTTATGTGGAGTGTTGGAAGATCAGTAGAAGTTAATCCGACAAAGAAGTGGGAAGGATGGTACAGACTGAATAAACAAAGGCAGGGAGTGACAGATGTTCAGCATCATTTCCGTCTCTTTGCCTTCCATAGTCAGTTTCTCTGAGTCTTCTAGGAAAAATAGTTGAACAAAATAACTCTAATTTTTTTCACTTGAAATGGAGGCCTCAGTTAACAGATTTTCAAGTATTGGTCTTGATCTGGCCTGGGTAGAGGCTGTTGCGCCTTCTCTTCTCTAGAGTAGAAGTTGCCGTTGTTCACTGAGGTGATAGGACCTCTTTGGTTTCAGGGTTCAGATAAGAAGTGTTGCAAAGGTGTGTTACAACAGTGACTGGCAGCTACAAACTCTCATTTTTCCTGCCAGTAGGCACAGTCAATTCATGGAAAGACTTTTCTGTCAAAAATAACTTAACCAGTGAGAAACATTGAGATTATCAGGCAAACAATACTAGCCTTAAATGGCAAAAGTTATTAGTAATATCTTAGTGTTACTTGCTTTTGTCATTCATGCCTGAAATGAACAGAGTTGGAAGTTTTGCTTGTCAGGAAAGCAAAGGATTTGCAGAGGAAACAGGACTGCTGGTATGGTGAACTGGGTGGAGAATATGAAACATGGGTACCTTCAAATTATTTGGAGGTCAAGAAAAGAGTTGGAATGCCAAAAGATAGGAGAAAAAATGTAGAAAAATAAGTCATAGGAATAACAAAGCAACCTTGGTTTGTGCTGCAGTTTTGCCTTCCTTTGGATTGCCACTTTTTTTTTTCCCATCGCGAAAACCAGATAGGAAAGTAGGAAAGGTAACATACCCACTTCTTTCCCACACTTCTAGCTTCTTTTCTTTTTGCCTTAACTTGGCTATGGTAAAAGAGAGGAGATATGAACCATCTCTTGCAATTTTTGTAAGCAGTGTTTCTCAACCCTGGTTGCCCAGCAGAATAAATATATTGCCTCCTGTGTGGAGGACCTTCTGAAGTATAATCTTTTGAATGTAAGTATTTTAAAGAAGCTCTATAGATAATTTTGATAAACATGTTTGGAAACAAGGTATTTATTATGATTCCATGAGAAGACATACAGAATTCTAGAGGATGATTTGTAGAAATATATTCAAGATTATTTACAGTTATTTCAACTCCTTCCATGCAGAGACTTAGGTGGACTTGACTTACATACTACTTTGCAGATCTAAACCAAAGGCTGAACCCATAAGGGCCCAGGAGGGTATATCAAAATCCAGAGTGCAGAGAGAGCTAGACAGCTGCCTCCCTGCCCCCCAAAAAAATTTCTTGAAGTATAGAGCTCCGAGTGAAAACCTGGGGAAATCAAACATAGAGGGTGGAAACCAGGTCCTCAGTGCACAGTGAACTTAAGGTTTAAAAACTAGACACAATCAAGGGGGCGGGGAATGTAGAACAAGAAGGGATGTCCAATATAAGTATGTGTATCACTAGAATTTTGATAGCTTATCTGGATTGATGAGCAGGTGTGTGTGTGTGTGTGTGTGTGTGTGTGTGTGTGTGTGTGAAGGCAGTGGCAGAGTTCTGGGCTTTTTATCACTGACTATTTGGATAGATGGAATATGGATGTAGTCTACTTTTCTATATAAAACATACAAGGGTGGACAAAAATAGGTTTACAGTTGTTTGTGTGGAAAATAATGCAATAACGAATAAATAATAATACAAGAATAAACTTTTACGTACTCAGAACTGTAAGCCTACTTTTGCCTACCCCTATTTACTCTGTAGTACTAGTATTCCTTACCTAAATAGAAATCCATCACTATACCATTTGATCATTATGTTTAACTAACTTACAAGGCCAGGTGTTTGCATGTACAGGGTTAGCATATTTCCTCTCATATGTCCAGCACTAGGTACCATGGAGTTATATCTCTGAATGATCAAGTATGTCATGTGTCTCTCTCTTCACATCTTACACACCTGCCCCTCACCCTCACTTTGTTTGCACAGCTGTTTTTGAATTTGAATTGGGGCAGTGTTGCCCTTTGGGATGTAAATGTTGAGTTATTAATAGTCCAACATAGTATACTAGAAAAGTCTGGTATGTACACTACAACTTTTTATGATGATATGTACTATGTAAACATTATGTGTTTTACATGAATATGTTTACCCAATACACTGTGGTAGACCATAGAGGTGGTCTTTCATGAATGTCAATTTTCAAAGGTACCCAAAGCTCTCTGAGTCACTATGAATACCGAAGTTATAACATATGTTTTAAAAACTGCTTTTAAATATTTATACATTATGGGCCAGTAGTTCCTAGGAGAACAAGA